TCCTCCATTTATTTGTACGTAAAACAATTGATTCTTGAAAGTGGGCAACACTGTTTTCCCTCCATTTAGATGTATGTAAAACAATCGATTCTTAGCGAGGCAGCTTACCTCGCCCAAAATCGATATTTTTAATGGATTTAAGGCTCAGCACTGGAAAAAAACACATTGGATCTAGAGTCCAGACTCTTGAAAACATTGACAAGAAAAAATACTCTTGATTCAATCGGATTTTTGCTTACTCTTGATTCAATCGGATTTTTGCTTAAATCAAAAGGAAATCCGCTCAAATTAAGAGGCTCGGTTCTTGATTTAAGCAAAAATCCGATTGAATCAAGAGTATTTTTTCTTGTCAATGTTTTTAAGAGTCTGGACTCTAGATCCAATGTGTTTTTTTCCAGTGAGGGCAAATCATTCTAAACGGAAGATAGCGACAACTACTTGACCCATACTGACAGTGAGTTCTGGAAGATTCTGATAAGTATTCCATTCTGTCGGAATCAGAAAGACGAAGTGAGGACAGAAATAGAAAGTCGATTTGGCGGCCTGTCAAGGACGGTCAAGGCAATCTGCGGAGGTAATGGACTTTCGTTGGGTAATTAACAATTTCAGAATGAATTCACACGCTACTTTCGATCAAAGCATTGAGGAAGGATCGATTAGGGCAATTATTGATGTTCCTCCGGGCTCGTTGTTGATGGCACATCCTCTGCCTCTCGTGGCGCGAAAAGGTAAATTCTAGTAAAATTAGCTAATGATCAGATCACCGCACCTGGATCTGGAACGTGGATTCGGACCTCGGTTTTGGCAGAGGGATTTTTGTGGCCAGGACATTTTAAAGTGTAAACGACAGAAGACGGATAGAAAGAGGCTCCGTAGAGTTCACCACTTGCCAGACTCAGAAAAAGTTGATGGAAATAAAATCCACACATTTACCCTGGTAAAAATTGGCAGTAGAACCTGTGTTCCAAAATACCATAGACCTACAGCCGGCTGTAAGATTTCCAATAGCTTCTATAGCCGGCTACACAATTTCTTATAGCCTTTTATAGCCGATGGCGATTAAGCAACAGCCAGACGATAAAGTGTATGCTAAACGTTACTAATTACGGATGCTAGGACTTAGTGAGTTTTTGGAATACTGCTTTCTTTATGGGCCGTAGTATCTTAATTTATTTTGCGAGGAAAGCTCCGTACTTTTGATGGATGCCTGCCATTACTAATATATTAGAGTGCCTTCAGTTTCGTATGATATTGTGCAATACCTCTGGAGTGAAATAGTTGCTTCAAGCGCCGTGGCAGGCGGGCAGCCGGCGCGAAACACGCACTGGCGCCTACAAACCTAACAGGGATACTTCACGCGTTGCGCAATGCGTGAAGTATCCCTGTTAGGTTTGTAGGCGCCAGTGCGCCGCCGCTCCGCTTTGTGTTAGGCTCTAATGTTTAATCTCGCGGAGTCAGCGTTATTCAACTCATGATTTTGAAATGTTTGCACATCCTGTATGGATTTTTCTCATTTTAATTTATGAAAAAAAATATGTATTAAAGGAAAATATAATGTGTGTTTTGTAAATATTAAGGTGGTTCCGTATCAAACTTAATGATTTCCAAAGCACACGAATTTCTACACAATTTCTTATAGCCTTTTATAGCCGATGGCGAAAAAGCAACAGCCAGGCGATAAAGTGTAAAGCCTGGCGTTAGAAACTATAGCCCGACTGCATAATTTTTTATCGCTTCGTACAGCTCGGCCGTATGATTTTCTCCGCATTCTACAGCCAGCTATATGATTTTCTGTAGCCTTCTTTAGCCGGCTATAAGAATTCCTATGGTATTTTGAAACACAGCTCTTATCGCCAATTTTTACCAGGGTAATTCAGTGCTTACAGCGAAAAATTGGGATGAATCGTAACTTTTAACGTAAATATTTGTTTAAAATAAGGAATTATTATTATGAATTATTAAGGAATATTATTGTCCCTTTGAAAGGAAAGTTCTGGTTGAAGAAGGAGAAGAAGAACCCCAAATTTTTTAATGTGAATAACTTCTTTTCTATTATTTTTCTTTTCTTTTTTTCTTTTTCTCTTCTTTTCGGCTTGTTGCGATAAGAAGAGTTTTTGCAAAAAGACATTACCATTAATAATGAAAACTAAATTTAACTAGCAAATCGAACGATTAATAGATTGCTGGAGGTCACAAAATACTTTCTGTGGTGCGAGAGTATAAGCAATAAGTGAGAAGAATCTAGGTAGGTTTCATGACTGAAAGATCGCGTTGATGATGAAACCTGAACAAACGTAGTTTGTAGTTGCACAGAAAATACATTCAATTCCTCCTTTTCCGATTGCAACCCTTCCTGATCGTTGGTTTAATCCGCTGGAAAAGAATAAATTGCTACTGAAGAAATAATCGGCATCAGAAATTAAGCGGGAAAAAAAAAAAAAACTAACGAATACGAGTATACCAAAAAACCAATCAACTAAAAGACAAACAAAACAAATCAGAAGTTTGCCCATTGCTGTAATAATAGCACCTGAAGTCTATGAAAACTTTTCAATGACAAATTATTGTGAGGAATAAACAGTGTCCAAGTTGAGGGTCAAAACTCAAAATATTTCATCCGGTGCAGCATGGACACTGCGCGGTTGCCTCTTCTAAGAGAAAAAAGCATTAATACGTAATTTTTTGGAGAGAGGATGTTTTTGTTCATTATTATGCAAGGCAAAACATGGGAACGCGAAAAATTTTAAAACCTATATGTTAAAATTTGCATGTATAACGCATGTGCTCGAATGAAAAATTCACATAGAAATGTGTTTGATGGATAAAAAATGATTCGGGCAAATCCGGAGATTTTTTTCGAGCAAATTGAACTTTTCCTGTGCTTTTTCAGGGCCTTTCCCTTGCTTTTCCCCTACTTTCCCAAAAATTCTTTTTTTGGTTATCTCCAAAAATCCTTGCTATTTTCTTACCTTTTCCTTACTCTTTCCTTACCTTACACACATTTTTGACTGTGATCGGATTGGGAGAGAGGAATGAAGAAATGACAAAGGAATAAACCGAAAAACACGAGGAATCAAACCGGGAACTTGATAAATTGATTATGTTATAAGAGATAGCATACCATTAAGGCTATTTTATGGAGTTTATGACAGAAATCTCGAAATTCCGTGCTTTTTCCATACTTCCGTATCAATATTAACCTTCCAAAATCCGTGTTTTTCCAGTGTATCCGTACTTTTTCCGTAAAGTAGACACCCTGGGATACTTATTACTCTCGATCCAATCAAAAAAGAAAAACAATTGTGCAACAGGTCCATTAGCTCCGGAATATTATCGCCTATCGAAGGTTTTTTTTCCATTTGTGTCTCAAATAAAGTACATTATTTCATACAAGTTGTTCAAGTTATTATATCATTACTCATTAATGTTATTAATATACTGATATACTGAATCATAGGTTCCACCTCAGTACTTGTGTCTCGCGACACGCCGGAAGCACCAACAGGTATATCATCGGCTGGGATAGAACTAAAATTTTCTTCATATACCTAAACTTTTCTTTACACAGTCTATCGAAATTTCCTAATACCTGTATGGTAGGAGAAATTTTTAATAAATTAAAAAAAAAAGTCTATCGAAGCTTACATGAGAGTAAATCGACTAAATTCCGCCAAAGTGACATCTTTGTGGCAACGGAGGCCCTGGGAGCCACGGGCAAGGCTACGCACACGCACACTGCACGCACGGCCAGGCACTCAAGCGCGATCTGACGGGAACCCGACGCACAAACAAGAATGACACCGAGGTCAACCTAACACTGAAATTATGTCTTCGGATCGGATGGCAAGCGCCCCCCCCCCTCCCTCCCTGGGGAACGAGCACCGCAAACCGAGCGGAACGCATCGTAGGTGCGAAATGCGCGAGTCCACTTCACTGCACCGGATGCTCGTCCAACTTTCGCACCAAAGCTCTGAAAATTTGACATTTTTGCATTCCATGAGTAAATTCTTTAAAATTTTAAAAATATGAATGAAACATAAATAATATGAATACTAACTTCATTGATAACATGAAAATTGCACAGTTTTACCGTTCAAGTTCAAAATTGGCGAATCTCGTCTAACATTTCAACCAAAAACAACCTCGAGGAACGATGACGAACCACCGGATAGCACTCTGCCAAGAGGAAGAAGAAGAAGAAGAAGAAGAAGGAGGAGGAGGAGGAGGAGGAGGAGGATTTTCTGATCCCTCCCTCCACGAAAACACCTTCATGTATACGGATGAATTAATGGCGCACCTGTACTTTCTAATCAGGGAGAAGATGTTTCACCTTTCGGTCCTCAGGGGAACTAAGTAAGAATTCTTGTCAAAAATAAGAAAGGGTCGATTTAATAGTAGAAGTGCATCAGCCTGACGTCAGGCTATGTTTCATAAACTACCCTGAGTCAGACTGATTTTTGAGATGGGGGAGGGGGGGGGTTTAAGGGTCGAACTTATCTTTTTCAATCGACCAAACCAAATGTTGCACGGTCTTAAATGATTCTATAGTATAAAAAACACGGTGGCCAAAAGGATTTAGAAAAAAAAAATTAACCCGACGCGCACAGGGCCTAAAGATCGTTATTTTTCCGATTATTTTGGCATTCGAGGCCCATTTCTTTAGGCTCTCTGTGCGCCGGATAATTTTTTTTTTTTTTTTTTCAAAATCCTTTTGGCTACCGTGTTTTTTTTAAATCACATACAATCATAGAAGATCGTGCAACATTTGGTTTGGTCGATTTAAAAAAATAAGTCCCACCCTAGGTGGGGGGGGGGGACTTTGAACTTTCTGCACACCTAGCGAGTCCCGAAAACCATCTCTACCTTCCCCACGATCATACACCTCGAGTAACGAGAGGGGAGGGGGGGAGGGGGGGTCCTCCGAAATATTCCGTCTCGGCTCGCGATGCGACACGCCTACCTTCGAGCGCATGGGAGCGGCCGCGAGCACGCCGCGAGCGATCGCTTCAGTAGTAAACAAACCACGGACGAACTCGAACCTCGCGCCTCGACGAAGCTCGGATATTCCCGCCGTGAGATAGACCCCGTTTCCTCTTGTGTATTCCGTTCCCAGTGCGTGCCGCAATAGTAGGCGCACTCTAGCCGCGGTGTTTACCTTCCTGCCGCCGTGTCTGTGCGGGTAAACAGGCGCCATCTGCTCCGCGTCGCCGCAGAAAACGCGTTCGTGCGTTTCGCCGCCGAAAAACGCCGAAGGACCGCCGGGAAACCGGGCAGTTAAAGTGATTCTTCAGATTATCCGTGAAAATTTGTCTCCTCTGGGACGCGGTCAAATCGCCAGAGGTGAGTCAAGTGACAAGATCTATCCGCTTTATTCCGGAAACTTCCGAGCAACACGCTGTGACACAAAATTTGCAGCTTACTAAAATTTTAGTTCAATTCGATTCAACTTTCACTTTTTCACCTTTCTTTTTTTTCAAAACAATTTTAGAAGCCATTTGTGACAATTGCACCAGCACTACTGCACTTTATTGCAATAAAAGGTAAACATATTCGTTCGCAACATCGGCAACCTGAAGAGCATCTTGAAACCGTATTAATTATACAATGAAAGTGAAATGGCGTTGAAAAACCCAAATGTAATACTGTGCTAATGTAATACTAATACGGTACCAAATTATTTAACAAGTGCGGAAATAGTATTCATTTATGGATTTAAAAAGCTGAAATTTCAAAACAATACAAATGCGTACTATTAAGGTTCCAAAAATTTCTCTAAAAAAAATAAAAATATTTATGTACAGTAGACTCCGGATTATCCGGATTAATTGGTGCCGGGCCCGATCCGGATGAAAAAGAAATCCGGATAATAATAGGAAACACAAACACCACCAACCAACACCACAGTATTCTTATTATGTATACATCATGTACATACCAACACGAATTTAAAAGGTTAACGCCAAACTGAACGACTCAATTGTGATTGTGAATGGTAGCCGACAACGATAAATTACAGTACAACGATTAAAGCGCGCAATTCTTGAAGTATTCATGCAGTCTCGTAGCCGCTAATGTGTGTTTTAGGCTAACTAACCGACTGCACTGCGTTCGGCGTAATGCGAGAAGTATTTATGCAATCTAGTAGGCGCTAATGCGTTCCACGCCGACCTCACTGTCTGGCGCAATGCGTGAAGTATTCATTCAGCCTTGCAGGCGCCAATATGCCTTGCGATCGCTTCTCCGCGGATCCGCTCACTTATCGGAATGCGTACGTAGTTACATGGTTGCAGAATCGATCCAGATAATCCAGAGTCCGGATAATACGAAGCCGGATAATCCAGAGTCTACTGTAGTTATTTTTAACAAGTTTCTTTAAATTTCCTATGCAATAGGTAGAATTTGGATCACGCTAGTTTCGCGTTAAACGTGAGCGGGACTAAGGAAACGATTTTCCAATTAATTAAATATCATTTACCATTCTCACGGGGGATGTGGATGGATACCCTTCTGCGTGCTAAGGAAAAACGATATGAAAATTCGAGAGTTGCCAAATTTCTCAGGATAAAACATGTATTTTTAAGGAAAGTTATGCATATTTTTCCGTGAAATTTTCGGATATGTTGGATCGAGTTGCGAACAAAATTGTCTAAAAAATTCGACAAAATTTATTCAGAATTATTCCAGTGAATTTGGTTTTTAGTACAGGAAATCTGGCAACGTCTAAAGGCTCATGCGGCGTTTCTCCGTGGCACGGCAGCCTTAAAGGCCAACTTTTCTTCGGTTAGTATTTACACGGGCCTGAGCCGCTGATCATATATTTCAAACGGCCGTCGTTACTTTTTTGCCGCTTCGTTGAAATCTCCGTTCAAAATATTTGCTTTATTCCTGTCGCACAATGAGAATCGGGAAGTGGGAAACCGTCAATTTTGTTCCCTGAATATGTTAGATCATGACATTAGATGGGCCGCGTCTAGCAGAAAGGAACCAGACCACATTAGCTATTGCCAAATTTGGCAGAGCGATTTAATTTCCTAAAATAGAACGTCTGTGCGGATTTTGACATTTTTAAGGAATTTGCTTCCTACTACGCAAAAAATTCACTTAAATTTGCAAAAAAATCCGCACGATCCTTATCATGTAAAAAAATGGATTGCCCTATTAAATTTGACAATAGCTGATGTGGCTTGGTTCTTTTCAGCTTGACGCAGTCCATATGAAACTGGGTCTTATGAACTGCAAAATTTGAGGCTGTAGTGACTTCAGTTTAGTTGGAAAAATTTTGGGCGTCCGCTGTACCAAATTGCTCGCAGAACGTTCTGCAACGCACAGAAGTCACTTGCTCGATCCTCGAAATACGGCAAACGTGAAGCAAATTTTGAGTAGAGAAGATATTTTTCATAACTGTTGATTTTTTTGTCTCTCATTGCTTTAAAAAGGGGGCACAGCGCATATTTTACCGTGAAATCACCGGATGGCGGCAAACAGCGTTTTGAAATTTTTTACCGTTGTCAAATACTGAATTTTGAGTTTACATGGGAGTAAGGTTCCTCGTGGAAAGTCACAATTATGTAAGCGACCATTTATTAGTTTTCATTTGTAAATTCTCATCATGGTGCTTGTGCAACATTATTGCGGCGTTTTTACGCTACATGAAATGTGTGGAAAGTTTTGAGCTTTCTCGTTTGTTAGCATGGCAAACGGCCAAAACGTAACGTCTTTTGAAATTTGACTAAAATAATAATCTTTTCTCTACTTGGCATCGCCTGTCGACCTAGATCGATCCTCTGAACGAATGTTCCGATTCAATCAAATCAGTCCCGGAGTATCTTCCCTCAATGTTTTGTCTCATCAGTTCTGGACGTCATGTTCGTCACAATCCGTCAACTGGAATTTGGGCGGCAAAATACGAATGAATAATATAATCAGCTTAATGGAAGGGTGGGTCTCAGTTTCGTGGAAAGTAGGAAAGTGTTACTAATCGATAGCCGTTGCGTGAACGGGCAGAAGGCCGATGTTTATCTGGCGGTCCTTAATGCTCCTTCATTTCGACGGACATGCAATTTGGGCTGCGCGGAGGTCGGAATTGTTGTATCAAGCGTTTTGCAATCTAAAGATGATCTTTTATTCATGACTGCTCGAAAGGGAATAATGAATGCGTCATCAATCAGGGTCATAATTCCGGATATTCTCTTTGATCTTGTTACCGTAAGATGGGATTTTGGGGACGGTTTTTTTTTTCGCGGTGTCCGCCGACGTGAACCCATGAAAAACGCGACAAGACACGAGAGATACCTGCGTTTGACGAAATGTCAATTCTAGGTGCCCTCAAAGCTTTGACCCTTCACACCAGAGGTGTAAAAAAAGAGAGAAATTGGAACGAAAACAGACAAAATGCCAAGAGGAGAAATTTGTGATAGGTAAAGGAAAACACAAAATCAAATCAGGGTGTTGCACAACTTTTGAAAGAAAAATTCCCTGACACTTCCCTGATTTTCTTGATAAAAACGGCCAAAAAACCGGAAAAATACTCTTGATTCTCTGACAGGCGGAGAAAATAATTCTCTGACATTTCCCTGACAAAAACGAAAAAATTCCTGATTTTTCGACACGTTTGGATTGATTAGATAAGAATGTTTTCATGTTTTAGGAATATGATGTAAAAAATAGAGCTAAATATATGGTGCCTAGACTTATGCGAGATATTTTTGCATAATTTATAAAATTTAAAAGAAATCAGCAGAAATTCTGATGAAAATTTTGGTACAAATTTCCGCAAGAGTAAAATTCGCGAAACACTTTCCAAAAAAATTCATGTTTTTCGATTTCCCTGACGTTCCCCTGACACGAAAATTGCTTGCAAAATAAAATTCCCTGACATGCCGAATTTTTGCGGATTCCCTAACGTTTTCCTTGACACCCAAAAAATTCCCTGATGGTTTCCCGGTTCTCCCGGTCGCGAGACACCCTGCAAAGGAAGGAAGGTAGCAGAGGGTTGCTAAAGTTGAAGAGAGGACAAAAGAGAGAGAGAGAGAGAGAATGATATTTTACAGTTCAGTTTTTTTTCAGCGATTATGATTGACAGGCCAACTCTGAACTGATTAGGAGGCGCTTTTCCCCTAGTTTTCCTGATTCCGTTTTTCTCAGCCGAAGATGTAAGAGATCGAATTCTCAAATCAACCGCGCAACGCTGATTGATGAGCAATCGTTCATAAACAGAGGAGTCGAATGAGTAATCATTGCACTGACTGAAGCCTAGACGTATAAAAGAACACCGCCAATTTGATCCAAACGCGGAAAAATGATGATAGCCTTCCGAGAAAATCCAGCAGCTAAAGGTTACCAGGGTTTCAAATTTTAAGGGAAAAAATATCCTTTACTTGATTATCTAGGTCCTTTGAACTTCGTCGATCTTCACTAATTTTCCACTTAAAAAAGAGGAAAGCGTAAAATAGACTGGTCATTGTGGCTTGGAGAATTTGCACGCAAATTTTTTATTGCTTCATCTGAAAGTGCACAAGAGAAAAAACACATTGGATCTAGAGTCCAGACTCTTAAAAACATCGACAAGAAAAAATACTCTTGATTCAATCAGATTTAAGTTTAAATCAAGAACCAAGCCTCTTAATTTGAGCGGATTCCGCCTTTTGATTGAGCTTAAATCTGATTGAATCAAGAGTCCTTTTTCTTGTCAATGTTTTCAAGAGTCTGGACTCTAGATCCAATGTGTTTTTTTTTTCCAGTGTGCCTAAAGAGCTGATTTTGTAGTATTTTTTATACTTTTTTTCTGCAATGGGAAATAGTATAAAAATATATTGAAAAGTGAGAAATTGCACCGCCTAGTGACGTCATCTGGCGGCATTTCCCATTGAAACACATGAATTTTGGCAGATTAGGTTATTTGGTCATATCTCCTCTAATAATTGTCCAATTTATGAACCAAGGGTATTATCGCGTTCAGCCCCTCGGTAGCGTCCACTTAAACACGGAATTCATCAAATTTCAGACACCTGCAAATTCTCTATTGCATTAGTACAGCACAACACAGTTTCATAAAATGACTCTTCATCTAGAAAGACTTTGAATTACCTGGTGTAGATACTTCGATTGCGTTCTGCACATTACGCCCCATCGTGTCATAGAAATAATACATTGAAATAAAATTTTACACACGACACGGCATCGGAACAAGTCATTCTCTGCGACGAGCTCTACTCAAAACAGCCGATACCCTTCTTCCCTAAAAAGTCACGTCACTTAACGCCTCGATGCACATGGCCCCGCATTTGGACACCCACTTTCGGCAACTCCGCATGAAGATCGGTCATCAACATCCTCATTGC